AGAAAGAAGCAATTTCAACTTTTCCTCTTTCCATTCATTTGCTGATGACGTGTCTACTGCTGCACTTTCACCACACACTTTCCGGAAACTCAAACCATTCCGAAATTTAAATTTCTGTAACCAACAATTCGATGCTTTAAAATCTTTGAAGTTTAATTTGGAAGCAAAAAAGTGTGCTTGTTCTTTAAGTACATTTCCATCAATTGGAATGTTTAAGCTTCTCATCTTTTGAAACCAAACAAGCAAAGCCCTTTCCAAATTTGGGTGTTTTGATTCTCAAAAATATTTTTGAGAGGAGGGTCCACATTCATTGTTTCCGTTTTTAGCTCCAAAGATCTTCTCTCTTGCCTTTAAAATCGTCGATAAACTACTTTTAGGAATTCCATATTTCTGAGCAATTTGTGCCTTGCTTAATATTTTTTCGTCAACTTCTTTTAAAATCTTTATTTTAACCGCCAAACAAATTCGTTTCTTCATTTGCAACATAGCTCTAAGAATCTTACTTAACAAAAACTGGCCCAATCTCCCTCTCGACTAACGAGACTTAACTGATTGAGTTGTCCAGATCAAATGACTATGACATTACAAAAAGCAACAACTCTCTTTTAGAAGCAACCCAAAGCCCTTTAACACGAATGGTCTCACCCCCATCCAACAACATCAGGCCGATGCTCTTCTGAGAGCCTCCCACAACAAACAACACCATAAATTTGTCCTAATTCCCCCTCTTCTCCACCCCCTCCTTTTACTGTACTTCTTCGAATGTTTCGCACTTGCTGCCTTAAAATAGTTGGAGATTTTATTTGACCTTCACACTTTGTCCCAATGAAACACGCAGAAGTATGAAAACTGAGTTCGCAAAAAAGAGATTTTCCTGATTTGTAGTTCGTAAATAAGAGCGCAAAATTACATTACATCTACGGGAGTGTATTCGGGACCATTCGCTAGTTCGTCAAATCGAGAGTGTTCGTAAAAAAGAGGTTCGTAAAAAACGAACGTCTACTGTATTTTGGCGGGGCAGACTCACCCACTGCTTGGCACGTTTTTTCAGTATCCATGTGCACCTGACCTATTTTCACTTAAAAAAAACATCAGAGAATTGCACAAATTTCGCATTGTGCACTTCCTATACTTTGTCCACATACACATTTTCACTTAAAAAGTCAAAGGCAACTGACAAAAATTCAATTCTTCTTACTTTTGTAAAAAGCGCATTGTTACTTTGGTAGATGGTTGCACAGATTTTGGTGGGTTTTTTTTTGGGGGAGGGGCGAGCAGTACGACTTATGGTAAACCAATTGCTGGAAAAGTTATTTATGGTAACCGATACTTTGTTGTCATTTTATTTAAAAAATAATGTGTTTTATTATGCATAAATTCTATGTTTTAAATATTATTTATGGTTTCTAAATATTAAAAATCAATTTAATTTTGCATTATTATTTGAAATAAAAATTTCATTGTTTATGATATTTTATATAATTTTATACTGTGGATGATGTAATCAATGACATCACCTCACTTTAAAAGTAATTGGCTTTAATACCTATAAATTTAATCTAATGTTTTAAACATTATTTATGGCTGTTAAATATTAAAATACAATTGAATTTTTCATTTTTTTAAAATGATTTTATTATGTATGATTATTTAAATAACTTTAATTCTAGGCGTGATGTAATCAGCTCGCTGATTGGTTACTGAAGAATATTTGTGCATTACTGCGCCATTTTAAAATTTTATTATTAACCCCTTCAAGCCGGGTAGTGAAAACTCGTGCTTATCGCGGAGGCCGGCAATGTCTTCCGTGAGCATCTCTCCAGGGCCGGGGGCTTTTGCTACTAAGCCTAAATCCATGAAATCTCCGAAGTATCAACGCATTGTTTAATAATGCTCTATAGAGTATTTAAACGGCTTTATAAATATTTTTATATACGAGGGCCATCCAGGAAGTAGATTACGTTTCCGTCTGTGTCCGCTAGGGGCGGGGCTAGCGCGGCCATCTTGGGGTCAGAGCGTTGCGCAGCTCAGTCTGCATCTAGCCGTGCTAGTGAGAGGTTCGTGCTGTGCTCCGTTCAGATACTGTGACGGTTTGAAATGTCTGCGTTAATTGAAAATCCCGCGAGCTGCGAGGTGCGCTCAGTAATAAGGTTTCTGACTGCAAAAAACTGTAAACCGATAGAAATCTATCGGCAGCTTCGTGAAGTGTATGGGGACAACATTATCACTGAAGGTGGAGTGCGTCAGTGGGTCATAAGATTTCAAAATGGCCGAACCAATGTTCACGACGAAGATCGAAGTGGGAGACCCAGCATAGTGACAGCCGAACTTCTCGAAAAAGTCGATGCTAAAGTCCGTGAAAATCGAAATTTCACAATAACGGAACTTTCTTTGAGTTTTCCACAAATTTCGCGAAGTTTGTTGCACGAAATCATCAGCGAAAAGCTTGGTTACCACAAGTTTTGTGCAAGATGGAAGGCAAGAAGAGGTAACGAAGTGGTTGAAGGCGCAGGCGGCCGAATTTTTCGACGAAGGAATTTCCAAGCTCGTACATCGCTACGATAAATGCCTTAATTTGTATGGTGACTATGTAGAAAAGTAGTATTTGAGTGTGGCTTTCATCTGTATATAATAAAATTTGTTTCCTATACTTTGTTTATTTTTTTATTCCAAAACGTAATCTACTTTCTGGATAGCCCTCGTATATATACTTTAATTACCTTATTTCTTGTTTAAATGCATATTTTACACATTTTATTTTAATTACTCACCATTTTATGACTTTTAACATTATACATCTGAAAACTAAATATATTACTAAAAATTATCTTTTCGTATGAAAAATTTGAAAACAGGGATCTACACACAGTCCTACGTTACATTCCTTGAACTCGTAATAACTCATTTGCCGTTTCCGGGAATGTGAACAAACGAAGCATCGTCGTCTCATTTTCTTATCAGTCTCTTCTGAACAAAGTTTTGGAAAATGTCTTTCAGTTAATCTTTCAGAATCAATATCAGAATATCAGAATTTCAGAATCAATATCTGAAAAATTTGGCATCATTTCTGCTATTTCATACTCTGTTAAACATTTTCGATGCTTTGACATTGAAACGGTAAAAATAGAAAGAATTCACATCTAACAAGATCTAATTATTTTCTAAAAACTGAACAGTAAACCGAAATACTCAACGCTTTAGTGCATATAAAACTTCTACTTACAATAAACAACTACCACGTGCGAATAAAGTGCGATTTAAAGAGACGTCATAAATCGCGCCATTCGGAAACATTTAGTTCCCCGTTTGTTTATATAATCAAAATCACGTGTATATGAGTCATGCTTCTCTCATTTCGAGTAGAAGGTCTAATGTACATGTATCTGAAACCATATGGACATACAGTGCCATCTTGTGGCAGAAATTATAGTTTGAAAAACGTTCCAAGGTACTGGCACAAATACGTGACATCCGGTAGTAAACGCAACAATGCTCTGGCACGCCTGCGTGTCGGCCGGTAGATAAGAGTGTTCATCGCTCTCATGTATACGTGACAGTCGGCGCAAAGGGGTTAATCTCTTTTGAACTCATTAGATTTCAAAGTGAATCGATATGTCCGTTTCGAAGATGAATGTTGTTATTGGTAATTACCAAGAATTATTGGTATCGGAATAAAAAAAATTGTGCTTTGAGACCTTATTTTGGCCAACCTGACTTTCCTAATCAAAGATTTATTTGTATATTGTTACAAGGGTCAGAGGAAACTTATTTTAAATTTTTGGAAGAAACCTCGCTAAATGCTTCTTCAATGTAGTGCGAGAAATGTGGATCACAGATGAAGATTGTAATGACCTCACAGATGAATAAGGCACCATAAGGAAAACAAAACAAACATTTATTAAAAATTAACGTTCAAAGAATAATGGTAAACTCGGAGCACTATCTCGCTCCTACAACATAGTTAATCTACCACCTGCCTCCTCTGAGGCTAACATGCAACTGTCATCTCTCTCACTTGCTGGGCTCTGCCAGGCAGCTGATTGGCTCATCGTAGCTAGATACATGACAAAGATCGTTAGAAGAGCCGATTCTGAGGACAGCCGTATATGGTATTGAAGTCACAGTTGAAGAAATAACCACTGTAATGGTAAAAAAATATAAAAATATTAGAGATACCTCCTTTTTTACCAGCACTAAACTAACTGCTGTCATTTTAGCTCTAGTGTACGAAGCGTACTTATTTTCCAGTATTTGAATTTTTAAGTAATATTTAAATTCTTTTAAATGTTGGTAAGATGGTTTATAATTCAATATTCAATTTACATAATATTTTAATCCAATTAAACATTGGTGCAATGTTTTTTATTCTATTTCTGTGCTATACGAAAGCAATAATTTAACCTTACTTTAGTATTTTATACTCGTAGTAAATGTATTTATTTACATTTGCATGCCACCTTAAAAAACAACGTTTTCAACAAAAAATTAATCCATTATTGAAATACTTTACTATGCGCAAAATAACGTAAAAACGGCGTTTTTTAAGACGGCTAACGATTGTAAAAACCCCGCCAACAATTGCGCCAAAAATCCGTGCAACTGTCTACCAAAGTAACACTATATCACCAAACATAACGTGCCAAATAAGTGGGCGATTCTACACTTCACCCATTTTGGCTTTGTATAGCCGTGATTTTTGACCCATACATCCCCGTTACACAAGATCAAAATAACAAGTCAAAGAATTGCATACAATCGGTGTCCATGTATCGCCAAGAATAGCCAATTTTTGCCAAGGGGCACCCGTAAATATATTTTTACTAAATTTACAAAATGGGAAGGGGCACCCTACCCGAAGTTTGGCAGCCATCATCTTAAAATACATAATATTTACCATTATTATGAAATAATACAAGACTGTGATTTATGCAATCTTATAAATCCATTTTTGCCAGACTAGGCTGAATTATAGACAAAGAGTAAAAAAACGTTTCTCGTACCATTGAGTTCTGAAACCTATTCAGAAATGTGCACAGTGTATTCCCCAGGAAATGCTTCAAAAGGCAGTAACATCTTTACCATTTCAACTACAGGCATACATTCCACAGCAAGTGGTCCCTTTCCCTGCGGATATTTAAAAGATGACAATACAGCAAAATCCAGAGCTTTTGAAATAAATATAGTGAAAATAAATTTCTTCACTTTTCACAAGCAATTCTATTTCTTTTTAAAAGACTGTCCATTATTTTTTACTTATGCTGTCTAAGGTATTGAAAAATTATCAAGCACTATTTATACTGAAAGTAAGTTTTACCTTTACTTGAATTATCAGAATGATCTGATGCTTTTAAATACACCACAGCAGGAAAATCTGTCATTACGAATTCTCTTCATATGGTTATTGGTAATAAATTATGGAAATAATAATAGTTAAAAGAATGACAAAGACACCTGAAACAAACACTCCAGAAATAGTAACTATAAACAATCACTTAAAATTTAGAAGCAATCACTTCAGCTTCAGGAATGACAACAAAGAACAAACAAAATCTGTATTGCCATTTAACTAAATATTTTACAATAATCAGTTGGGGTAAAAAATCCCGTATGATTGTTTTAAAAAATTATACAACAAATTTCTTTAGATTTCTATATACTTCCCAAATATTTGCAGCAATTCAAAACTTCGAATTTTATCCGGAAAGGTAAAATTAATATAACAATTTATAGTTGTCAATTCTTCATCAGACACAATAAGCCCTTTACAACTTTACACAATCCATTATTTAATTCAATGGTATATATAAATTAAAAAAAGTATAGAGATTCTATTTGTTTAAGGACGTTTTGTTTAAAAGAGATTTTTCATGGAGGACTTTTTAACTGACTTCACTGACACTCGAACTGTGGACTGAACTACCAATGTTCAGCTCAGCTACAGGTGAGCAATTACTTAAGAGCTTTTGAAGATAACTTTTTGGAGAAATTTATTCGTTTTTAAGTTTCTTGTAATTGAAAATATGAAAACATCTATTTAACCAGCCTGTTTGCCAGGATTCGAATCCAAGTCAAATTGCCCGTTTTCAGAGCTTTATTCCGTCACTATTGAGCGTCGCTGCTCTCACTACACATTTGAGCCACTTGTGGATATTACAGTGGTCTTCTCCATGTTAATTAAGCCCTATTTTTATTGATAATTTTCATTTTTCTAATTTAAGCCTTTTTTATGATTATGAAATTTTGTGAATTTTATTCAAGAAATTTTCCGACTATTTTTTATTTTTCTTGATTTGTTACCCTATGGGCTAAATGTCTTAATAAACGCAAAATAATACATGTGTTAATTTATCGTAATGTATTGTACAAATTTTTGGATATAATTAAAGAAAATGAAAATGGAAAGTATTAAAAATTTAAATAAAAAAACTAAAAAATTAAATTCGGAACCTTCAAGGGAAACTTCACGAGCTTTGAAGAAAAAAAAGAAGAGTGTTTTGAAGAATAAAAAGGAAGATGTGGAATTGACTAAAGATACCTGTATAAAGAAAAAACTAAAGAAACATGCCAAGCAAGCAAATTCACCAGGCGAAAGGTACGTGCTTTATAAAATAATTTAATGGACTAAAAGGAAAATTTGCGTCAAGTTTTGGAGTGAAACCAGTGAAAGTAAACATTGGCTGCAAACTGCAGTACAGGAAAGTTCGGGGAAAGTGCAGAATCGCCCACTGTTTGTCGCGTTTTTAAGAATTGCACATACTCGGTATCCATGGATTTGTATCCATGTAAACATCGACCTATTTTCACTTAAAAAACCATCCTAGAATTGCACAAAAATGGCATTGTGTACTCCCTTTATCCATGCATACATCGACCAATTTTCACTTAAAAAGTCAAAGAAAATTGACAAAAATCCAATTCTTCTTACTCTTGTAAAAAGCGCCAAACAAATAAGTGGGCGATTCTGCACTTTAGTTCTGCTATCCATTGCCAAAGGCATGTCATCTTCAGTGAAAGCCATATCAGTGATTCATATCGATCCATATAAATGAGTTTCATGTTGCAAAACACAGGATAAGCCAAACCACAGTAGGGTATTGATAATATCCATAAAGGACTGGGGAATGTTTCTAAAAGCCGCACTTGGCGAGATTTTTGGTTTTGTTGACATCAGGAGAGAGAGAATATGGGCTGATCTTTGGAATATGGTAACTGGTAGTTTGGCGATAAAGGTTACTACCTAGGACTTTGGTTATAATGTGAGAAGTACTCAGTTCCGATTACGCATTATTTTGTGTAAGGGAAATGAGAGATCATGAGATATGTCATGTGACATTATTGGACGAATTACAGTTCTTTAATCGGAAAAGGGGGGAAATCTGAAAATTTTGTATTTAGTTTTATTCTGTGTTGTGTGAAACAGTGTTGGTTAATTTTTGGATCCCATGGCCCTAACTAAAGTCAATTCGAAATGGATATTTAGTGGGATTGAAAGGGGTAGTAATAAATATTTTTTTAAGGTTGTGTGAGTTATTAAGTTATTTATTTTACCTGGTACCTTGCTGTGAACTATAAGTATGATTTTAAAGATCCTGAAACAGGCGCACATACGCTTGCTTTTTATTTAGCGGAGGAAATAAGAAAAGTTTATCGGACACGTAATCAAGATTCTGAAGAAGATTAGGTAAGTTAGTATTTTTAATTATTTGAGGCTATTATTTTTATGCATTGTTCTAAATGTAAGGAGTAAATAAATATGGTATTATTGGAAAATTGTTATTAGCAATGATTTTTAATATTTTAAGTAGTGTTTTTTTGAATTTAATTATATTTTAATTAAATGATAGTTATTTTGTGAATTTTATGTTTGTAGGAATTTGGTATACGTTTTAGTTGAAGTAAACGTGCATGGAAATAATTTAAATATTTGACACTAAGTATTTGTAACCATTTGTAATGTTTGCGGTATGAATTCGTTGGTGACTATAATGTAATAGATGATTTAGAGGTAAAAGTTTTTGGATATTTTATTTATTTTATACGTGGAAATGTTCATATTTGGAAAGGGTATATACTTTTTCGCGATCAGGTAATTTCATATATGTTCTTTTTTTTACCGGGTTTAAAGATTTCAGAAAATTGTCATGCATTTTCGTGAAATTTTTCTAATTTATGAGAAAAAAGCAGTGTACATGGATATAGTGAAGAGTGTGCGCAATGCCATTTTTGTGCAATTCTGGGATGTTTTTTTAAGTAAAAATAAGTCGACGTGTACATGGTTTAGTGATATTTTAATTAAATGATAGTTATTTTGTGAATTTTATGTTTGTAGGAATTTGGTATACGTTTAAGTTGAAGTAAACGTGCATGGAAATAATTTAAATATTTGACACTAAGTATTTGTAATGCTTGCGGTATGAATTCGTTGGTGACGTTTATAATATAATAGATGATTTAGAGGTAAAAGTTTTTGGATATTTTATTTATTTTATATGTGGAAATGTTCATATTTGGAAAGGGTAATATACTTTTTCGCGATCAGGTAATTTCATATATGTTCTTTTTACCGGGTTTAAAGATTGAGAAAATTGTCATGTATTTTCGTGAAATTTTTCTAATTTATGAGAAAAAAGCAGTGTACATGGATATAGTGAAGAGTGTGCGCAATGCCATTTTTGTGCAATTCTGGGATGTTTTTTTAAGTAAAAATAAGTCGGACGTGTACATGGTTTATGTGTATGTGTTATTTGAAAAACGCGTAAGGAGTATGGTATTGTGCACTTTTTCCCAATTTTGCAGTGAATATTTGTCATGATTAAGCAGTTTTGTTAGATAAAATTTCTAGCATAAGTGTAATTCGGCTAGTAGATTGTTGGAAGAAGTGTTCAGTAGATAAAAAGAAAAGAAACATGTCTTTACTTCGTGAAGACAAAATGGCGGCGGGAAAAAAAAATAGAGGGTTGCTGTAGGAGAGTTGGTCGCCAAATTTTCGCCAAAAAATTGCCAAGTTACCATAATCCAAAGATCAACCAGAATATGTGCTAAAACATAGTAACCCCAACTAGTGTTACAATCCTCAAAGAGAATTTTGCTGAAGGATGAAAAGGGAGTTTTTTCAGTTTTTCTCTGGACTTTCAGTAGAAGGTAAATTATGTCATTTTATTTTAGAACAGATCCTGCAATATTCACTTTGGAAGCACTTCCGCAAAGATTGGTTTTGGTTTACTTAATTATGGCAAAGTACACTAGGGCTTTCTGTCTAATGGGAGGAATGCCTTCGTGGAGGACTTTCTAAGGGAAATTTGTTCGTATACACGTTACACATGGGGAAACCCATGAAAACACACATGTAGCCAGCCAGTTCGTGGGATTCGAACCTCGGACCAAACTACCAGTGTTCAGCGACTTTACCGCTTGGCTGCTGGTGGGCCCCTTCCGCAAAGAACCTGGTAAATGTAAATATTGCTAACAATGGCCAAAATAGCTCAAACCTGGTAACCTAATGAATTCGCATGTTTGTAGCTAGCAACTATTCCTGTTATGTTGTTTTTGGTTCCTTATATTGCTATTCATAATTTTGTATGCTGTAGTATCACACTCAGTATTCACCTTTGCATGTGTAAATTATTCTTCTTTCATTTGCTATTATTTTGTCAGGTTTCCATGCTATCTTTTCAGAATATTTTAATTAAGAATAGATGGAATTAATTTCATTCAGTTAAGGAAGTTGTCTGAGACAGATGCTTGTCTGTAATGGTTCATCTCAGAAAGATTATTATCTTCATCGGAAATATGTTCTCAGCAAATAATGGATCAGCAGAGATTCCGATGCTGCTGATTGAGAAGTACGCGTTGAAGAGAATGTTTATGTATTGGAGACATATTAATTCTTAGGCAGGCATGGGTATTACAGTCAAAAGTCTTTAATCCGGAATGATCTATAATCCGGACCTCAAAGCTACAAACTTTCTGTGCATGCATCAATGCATAATGCATAATACCTTTATGCATGCACATGTGCATGTACGCATGCGCATAATACGTTTACTCATGCGCGTTTAATGTATAATGGACGGTATAAGCTAAGCTAAAATTATCTATTTCAGTTAATGTTGCAGATTGCGTTGTCCCTTATTCTTCTAATTGGATCCGGCTTATTATATTTGGGAGACTGTTAGAGTAATTTTATAAAAGTAAGCTTGAACTTTCGATTATGTCAAAAATAATTTCCGGATTCTGGAGCTAAAAGGATCTAAAAAGCGAAAGCATGTTTCGATATCCATCAAACAAAAAGTGGAATTGCTGCAAAAAATGGATAAAGGCATATCCTATGTTTCTCTAACCATTCCGAAATCTGTTTATCAATTTCACTCTGCTCTGCAGGAGAGAAACGTCGCGGCGCGCAATGAACTGGAAGTTGATCTGTCAGCACTATCCTTATCTTCAGGGCAGATGTTTTTATTTTACTCAGCTTATAATTCCTTACTAAATGCAGTATTTCATCCTTATATACTCCGTCTTTTATATGATTTAAGTAAAATTCCTCGTCATTATAA